CCTCAATTTAATAAAGGCTATTTATGAAAAACCATCAGCCAACATCATATTGAATGGCCAAAAACTGAAAACCTTCATGTTAAAATCAGGAACAAGACAAGGATGCCCACTATCGCCACTTCTCTTCAATATAGTTCTGGAAACATTAGCCACAGCAATTAGACAAGAGAAAGAAATTAAAGCAATAAAGATAGGAAAGGAAGAAGTTAAACTATCATTATTTGCTGATGATATGATACTCTACATTGAAGATCCAAAAAACTCCACCAAAAAACTTCTAGACTTAATTGACAGATTCAGTAAAGTATCTGGATACAAGGTGAATACCCAAAAATCAATAGCCTTTCCTTTTTTTTTTTAACATTTGTAAATTTTGTAAATCTTTTCTTCCCTTATATCTTTAACTTACTTTTGTATGATATATGGACATCTGTTAATGAGTTATCTTACTGTTTGTGATGTTTTCCCTGTTGATTTTCATGCTTTTTCCAGATTTGAAAAGAATGAATATTTATATTCTTCCTTTCTCTCATCCAAAGGCCAGGCGTGTGTCTCCAGGCCATTGCTAAGTAATGATAAGAGTGTGCTTTCCTGTGTGATTCCCCAGTAACCATGATGCTAGCTTTGGGGATGAGTTAGAAATGTTTTATATGTTAAGGAGAAAGCTTTTACCCCTGTTTTATTTAGAGTATTCTAAATCAAATGGATTCTGAAGTCAAATGCTTTTCAAGATCTGTGGGAATGACAATTTCATTTTCCTTTTTCACTTCCTAAGAAGAAAAATCAACAACTGGCTTTCCTATATCAAGCCCTTCCTCATCTTGAGCTTTTAGACTCTGCAGAGGCAGGAGGAACTGGAAATAGCAAGCAGGCCTTGCCCTATCCAGACTTATTTAAAGTAAACTTTTGCATTTTCCCCAGAAATATAGGCTTTAAGGGCCATAATCATTTGCCTTAAGAGGTGACCTTTATTGTCACTGGGGGAAAAGTGAGAGGAGCATCTCAGTGTCCCAGACTTGATCACTGTCATCTGGAACTTTATTACCAGTTGTGTGAAAGGAACAGATCACAAAGGTTTGCAGCAAACACTTGGAATTTCTTCTAAATGACTGCATCGGAATCCCTCCTTCCCCCAAAGACCGCACACTTGTCCCTGCTTTTATT